ATCCTAAATAACTAATATGTCTAATTTAGTCATAAAACAATTTCAGATTACTGGAATGTAAAGGCTGAGTTATAGTCGCTCTTTGGTCTGTGCGTTCGAGCTTGCTGAGTGCGCACGCACTGAGCCGTGCGGCTTCCTGCGTTTGTAGTTTAGCCGCTGATGCGCGGTGGAGCGCAAGCCAAGCCTTTCTACACACAAATTCATCTTTCTGCATCGCTTCAGCCATCTCCTTCCAAACATTCTGTGCCATTTGAACATCTTGATCTCTCATAGAGGGATCATATAAATGCTGAAATACAATCAGCAAGAGCAGCCCGTCGTCAACGGCACGCGCACTAGCCTTTGCGGAGTTTCAAAAAATCGGAGGTGCACGACACGCCCCAAAACGAAGCGCCGGGCCAATGCACAGAGGCGGGGACGGAGCTATTGCGTCACTTTTGTCGRGCACACCCTRGRGCGCTYCGCGACGCGTCAGCCWTAAATCTAGCTTTAGCGTGGTGAAGCCAAATAAATGCAATATTGGCATTCCATACWGTGAGCCTGTTGAACTGACCCYCTGCTGCTCTGTGCTCTCAGAGCACAAGCCGACAAGATGGATTTATGTCTGATCGAARGTCCCCATCTTTTTATCATCTCTGTGGGTAACAATACATAAAAAACAATTTTTTTTCTCCAGGCYTTGGGACACACCCACCTGCCCYAATGTGAGTTTTACCTGCCTCYGGCAAAAGGATTTGTCGAACCRTGGGCATTATTTTATTAACAGCATAAAACAAAATGTAACAATCATCATGCAGGGTATCATAACTGGAAACTATGTGTTAGAGGTTATAAAATAATGATTAAAAAAAGCTGTAAACACAAAGGAGCAAAGCCATACAGTGAGAAAATGTGTAGAGATCTGGTGTGAGATGGTGATTTTAATGTACTTACTGGAGAATAGCATGATTTAATTTGTTCATTAAACAGGMAAAGGAGGGCTTATTATCTCTCCACCTACTACAGTGAATGTGGTATTTTGCAATAAGTACGATTACATTTATGGCATCAGAGAAAGTAGAATTTAAGTTATCCASATAAAAMAAAATGTCAACATCAAAAGAATGAGAACCACAAAATTATCGTCTGCCKTGTTTGTTTGGTACAATGTTTTCCACCTACTCTGATACTCAGTGCATGTCTGGATGTACTGAAAGTCAAAACAAACTCTAGTATTAATCCCATCGTGCGAGTATCGGTACTATCCAACATGTTGGTATACCACTGTTGGTATCATGTGTTGGTGTAAATTCTCAGTCATCCAGGACGGCAACTTGACCTTTAAAACTGGGGTCATTTAGTAAAGCATCAGATATGTCTCTAGTTCAGCACTACATATGAAAAAGAACTATCATTAAAAAAATCAGATATAGTTGGCATATGGACAAAAAAAACCCAGATTTGTTTCACATGTTCCTGCTGTGTTTATTGTGTGAAAGACAACTCATGTCTGACTCTGTTTTAATGTTGTACAGGTGGATGTAAACCCCTCCAGTAACCGCCTGCAGCTGCTGGAGCCCTTTGACAAGTGGAACGGAAAAGATCTGGAGGACATGAGAATCCTCATCAAGGTGAGCAGGAAGTACATGTGTCTTTTCTCTGTAATTGTCAGTTTGTATCCTCTGAAAGATCAGGAGAAATAAGCGGGGCTGCACCGCATGTTGAGAGGATTTTGGTGTTGTTGTAGCAGCAGATGTTTTTGACATCAGGATGTGCAGTGTTTGGTGGCTGTGGGATGATGCAGCACAGCTGGAACTGAAGCTTGGCTGGAAGAGTGACTATATAAAAAAGTTTTATTGTGAAAATGCTGGTTTGTTTAGAGGCGTTCAGGCTCTGGAGCTCAGTGTACTAATGCAGTTTTAGTGTTAATCCCGTTATATTTTATATTGAGTTCTGTGTCACTGTTTAAGGAGTATTGTTGATTTAATTTAACATATAAGATGAGATTCAGAGCCGAGTAATCACAAATAAAACATCACTTGATGAAAAGAAATTTTTTGTTTGCTGTCACTAATCTTGTTTCTGTAATGTAATATTTGGGAGCAGAGGGGGGTTTCTTCCTGCAGAAGGAACCTGTTTCATGAAGAATGCAGGGAGAGAACTAATGAACCCTGTTTCTAATGTTTGTGCGTGAACCTAAGTGTAATGTTGTATGAAGATTGTGTCTGTTTAAGGGCAAGTGGCACACATTTTTATTTGATTWTGAGTGCCATGATTAATCAGAGCAGCACTTCATTCTGGTAATGGATTAGCTGTACAAGAATGAAGATGTATTTGCTGATAGTAAGGCTGCATCCAGTCYGGCAGTGCTGTGGTCAGCTGCCTCTAAGCCAGTAAAGAGAAACCATACCTTTACTGCAGAGGGAATCATGAACCGTGAGAATCTGTACTCTTCAGCTCAAARGTGAACTTAACATTCAGGTTGTCTGGTTTTTAATTAGCTTCTTTGCTTTCCTGTTTCCTGCAACKACAGTTCTGTAGTATCTCAAAATGAGAACACAATATCTTACCTGCTGTAGATTGACATTTGAGCGTCCTCAGTTTAGAGAAATCTAGTCCTCCATGTCACCTCCTGCTCTCTCAAGGTGAAGGGAAAATGCACCACGGACCACATCAGTGCCGCCGGGCCCTGGCTGAAATTTCGTGGTCACCTGGACAACATCTCCAACAACCTGCTGATCGGCGCTGTCAACATCGAGAACAACGCCGTCAACAAGGTGAAGAACCTCCTGACCGGAGAGTACGGAGGGGTTCCAGATGTGGCCCGTTTCTACAAGGTGAGCCTGATTGTTGGGTGACACTGTTTTTATCTTAAACACCGGGTGTGTAGGAGATGTTTAACATCTTACTGCTTACATTTGAACTATTAGACGTTTTAATTTGCAGGGAGTTAAAATATTTTAAAACCGTTTTTCATTTTAWAATTCAGGCCAACGGTGTGAACTGGGTGGTGGTTGGAGATGAGAACTACGGTGAGGGYTCCAGTCGGGAGCATGCCGCCCTGGAGCCACGCCACCTGGGAGGAAGAGCCATCATCGTCAAGAGCTTCGCCAGAATCCATGGTGGGTAAACTGGCAAACAGGAAAATATCAGTCTTTAAAGGGATCCACGATTAGTTGTAACATTAGACTTTATTTAGTAAACGTATATTTTAACTGTAAAATAAAGACTGTAAAAATACTGTTGGATGTTCAGTTTTATAATTTTTAAACTAAAAGTTTTTAAAAATATATTACACAGACGAGGCCATTTTATTTACACACAAAGCATTCTGGGTAAATGATGACGTGTATAGGTC